CCCAGTCATGTCACACCATTTTAAATTTCCTCCCTTGACTCAGGAACCAGAATCTGCACTTTTTGAATGTAATTAACTGAAGATTCCGTGTAAGACACTTTCCAAAGATGTGGTGAAAATAGAAAAGCAGCACTAGCTTTAGCATACCAACAATAGAGAAATGCAAACTAAGGCACAGTACACAGGCCTCCTTGAACTATTTTCAACACCAAAATGTGGAATTGTCTCAGCAAAATTAATCTGCTCTGGTCATGGTCAGACTACATGAATACTTAATTTACAGGTTACCTCTTCACAGGCTCTGTTAATTGACTTCCCTCCTTTTCTATCTAACAGCAACAGAAGCTCTGCTTTAAGGCCATGAACTCTCAAAGGAAGAGAGGATTCAAAAAAGGATATGTACTTGTCAGTTTTTCAAAAGCACCGTGCAGGCCTTGGAAAACTGCTAGTTTCTCTTCTAGTAGAAGGCTTTCAAAGGAAGACAGAAGATTGTCTATATTTATTTAGTATTACCAGTTCCCTAAAGAAAGCTGAAAAATCTAGACATTTCCTCAGGACCAAGGACAAATAGGAAAATATGACTATGAGTTTCTCAGTTTTTGAAGAGGTAAAATTAAAAACAGACAGCTAAAAAAATACTGAATAAAATGATGAAAAAAAAGCACTTCAGCTTAGGTATAAAACTGGGTATATAAATCCTACACAAAGGCTTAATGATCATGACACTAAGCTACAGAAAACTACATATCCTAGCAGGTAAAGAAATTTGAAGACCCCAGAGCCAACTTCTTTAAAAAAGTCCATTATTCAAAGAAACAAGAGTAAAAATCCTTATCCCAGAACCCTCAAAAGAAGATGAGTAACAGCATACTCTAAGGCAATATGCAAATAACCACAGTTTAAAACTGAACAGCACCCAAAACCTACACACCCCACATTAGATAATTTGATGTGAGAAAAAGAAAAGGAAAGAAGAATATGTAATTTGGCAAGTAGAATCCCAGAGTGTAAAACAAAATGGAGCATTAGACTGTGGCATGGGAGCTGCTGCTGTTCCATCACGAGGAATGAGGCAGAGACCATTAAGTTCATTAAATGAGTAAGGATTTACTACACATGTATAGTCATCTATATATCAAATGTACCTTTCTGCTTTTACACTTCTGCATTAAAAATGGCCCACTTACTGTGAACAGTCATTCATTTAATCTTCTAATATTTCTGTTAATGCTCTTACTTTGGTTTATGCCTACAAGTGAAAAGGTAACTTCTTGTCTGACAACTACAGGTATGAAAATTTCTATCTGCTTACTCTGCATCACAGGTGAAATTTATTTTAGAGACAAGTAACCCTCTGATGAAAAGCCTTTGTGAAAAGAGCCTTCTTAAAATCAACAGATGTAATGACTGTTACTCTATATCTCCTCTGCACTTTTCCTAACCCAATATTTTATATTTGTCACTCATTATGGATGGTCTTTCATGAAAGCTGAACAACCTGCTGAAACAAATCTTGTCTGTCACTAGATCATTCACAGCAGAAGGAAAGTGATCCCCATTTGTAGCTTTATTATTATCCCCATTTGTAGCTTTATTATTATCCCCATTTGTACCTTTATTATTACTGGATTGCACTACCATGACACAAATAAGCAAAATACTGGAATATCAAAGCCATTCTAACACAGATGTGTAAAAAAGAATTCACAAAATTTTCCCTTCCATTTTTTTTTGCAAACTTATAGTAATGGAAGTTAAGTTTAAGAAAATATTTGTCTGTAATATTAATACAGATGTTATTTTATGTGCACAATGAAGACACCAATTAGACTCGCAACACCAAAGTTTTCATAGTAATGATTCTTCAGTCTTGCAGCAAACTTTGAAATGACCACAAAAATTAGCAAATTCTCTTTTCAAGAACTGCACAAACTTGATTTCATTAAGGTAGAATATAAAATCTACATTCAAACATAATAAAAAATTAAAATTGAAAAGTCATGTTCTCTGCTGACAAATCCAATAGATCTGTTCTAAAACTCCAGCCCACTTGAAGAAAAGTGAAAATATAAGGGGAAAATTAAAAAGTTCATGTTAGATGAAAATATCCTAACTTTAGGTGAGAGAAATCAATTTTTAAAATGCAAACTGCACCCTGATATGAAGGCCAAGAGCATAGGTCTGTGATGTCAGCTCTGCCTGCTACCATAGAAGATTCACAGTCTCTTTTCCATCTGTATGAAGTCCACATCCTTTGAAACAGATTTTTTGAAATATTTAGTACATTCTAAGATTGCAAAATGGAGTATTTTACACATCCCAGTTTTATTGTTGGATTAATAGGTTTTTTTTGTATTTTAGCTTGGCTTTCTTGACACCTTTTGCCCAAGTCCAAGCATGTTAATGTGAGCTTCAATGTTACAAGTGAAGTACTCTTGTGAAAAGAAAACAAGTGCTTTCCTAAAAACGTGCTTATGTAATTTTCTTTGCACAATGGAGAATAATAGCATTTCAGTGTTGCTAAAGAAATTAAAATTGCCAGAAGATGGATTTAGAGTAAAAGGGAACTGCCCCTCAATACATCAAATGCATTGTGGAAGCAACAGTTCAGAAGTATAAACAAACATCAAATGGACCCATGCATCTACCAGCCACCTTATCTTGAATACAACAGGCAATGAGAAAAAGCAATTAACTCTTTTCTGTTGCTGCAATGGGTGCCTGGCTAGTTCTGGTTGTTGGACACTACCTTGAGCTATAAGAATTCAATTGTTTATTCCTGCTTGCACATGCTAATAAAAAAACCAAGAGTACATAAAAAGTTTGGTAACCACATTCTGCCCACCTGCCACAATGGTTCACAATAAAACAGCATCACATCTCTCTCTTTAAGAACATTTGGTAAGACCCCAAGTTTAAGAAAAACTTCAAATACTGACCATAAATGTGTCTATAGCAACATTTCAAGCATGACAACAGAACAATGATATAGTTTATGATACCACATAAACAAAAATACAATCCAAAGAACACATGAACGAAGCATGATGTTTTCATGTGCATTTAACTCCCAGATGCAGGAATTATGTTTGAAGTCACATGCATGCACAGCTAGAAATCATGTTGCTTCTTTTTAGGGAGTAGCTATGTTAGACTAAAAATATTTGTATGATTTCCTTGGCTGGTGCAGAGAGTACACAATGTTGAGTCAACACAGCAAAACAAGACATCCTTCCAATATCAGACAATCCTCTGATAGTGCAATAGTACCCCTAAGAAAGGTCTGGGGTTACAAGTGTGGAGACAATTCCAGAATTATCATTCTTTGTCTTTTAACATTTCCTTTATCAATTAATTTCCTATCATAGTTTTTCTGAAGACAATGACTGATATGAGAAACCATGAGTAAAAGGGAAAACAACAAAAACTGTAAATGAAGTAATGTAAAATATCAAAATAGTTATCAGATTTCCTGAAAATCCAAAACTAAAGGAAGAAAGTTATCAGGTAGATAAAATTGAGTCCCAATTAAAACTAACATGAGACTGGATCACAGTAATAGGTCTTGCATTACCATAGAAACAAAACATTTACAGATAAATATAATTGGAATGTAACATTTTCTCAATGAGTTACAAGTATGAGAGAGCTCTTTCTTCATTTGCAATATAGAAATGGGTATATTCTATCCTTTCCTTTCCTAGTTTGTTATTTTTTCTTTTTTTTAACAGCAATTTTGTGTCAAAGTTTGAACTTCTTAAAAACAAGTTATTTATGTTGAGCTTGGCTGCAGATCAATGCATCAAAATACAAAAGAGCAGTCCATAGATAAAAAAATGCTGTACTTTGGAAAAAGCAGGGTTATACTGAATGAGCTTAATATGAAGAATTCTATATATCACTTGAAGTACAAAAGAAATAAAGCATACACGAGCCATTATATTGTTTATATTACAACTTAAATTAACCTTTCCATTTATTATCAGAGATCCTTTTCTAAAAGACAGAATACAAAAGAGGACCTAAAGTTTTGACCTGATATTTTGAATAAGGTTTTTATAATTGGCCAATATCAGATTAGCTAATACAATATTGTTTCTACAAAGGCAGTAACTTAAATCACATTGCAGGAGTTGTGTTTTGCTTGGTGAGGATTTCACACCTTAGCAATTTTGTTGAAATTAGTTAAGACTTCTGTTTAAGGATATCTCTTCACCCAACAGAAGAAATAATTAGAAACAAATATGCCCTCTTTCTAAGTAATATAATGGCCTTTTTGAGATCACAGTTGTATTACAATGTATTTATAAATACCTATCTTGAAAAAAATGATTTAATTTCACACTAGCCTAAAAAATTCCAAGCCAAAGTATTTAGCAGAGTAACTGTATATCATTCTTGTACATATAAAATGCAAAAATAATTTTGCATTTTAAATTGTTGTGTAAGGATTCAATGAGTCAGCAGATTAGAGTCTGCAGATTTCACTTGGCATGGAAAGGATACTAAAATGGGTCTCTGACAAAATAATTTTCAGAAGTACAAAATACTATCTTTTACTGTAAAATTACAAAACTATGATTGATTTGTAACAGTAATCATCCAATGAGATTTTTTTAAAAGCAGCTATATGCTAATGCACTGAATTTATGCTTTATTTTATAGCTTACTCCTCCTCACTATGAGAAACTACACAACGGAATGAAATTCTGTTCCTCTTGAAGTCAATAGCCAGCTGTGACTGACTACAGAATGTCAGAACTTCTTGTCTGTCTAAACTATATTGGTTAGCTTATCAGAGCTGAAAGAATGGTGCAAAACGTTATAAACATTTAAAATTGCACTTTCTGAATTATTCTGATGTTATGCAATGTTTGATTTCATGACTTGTCTGAAATTAAAATGAGTAAAATGCAATAAACAAAAAAGTGCTTAGTTGTTTGACTTCTCCAATTCTTTAGGATTTCAATTTTAAGATGAAGTGGGGAACAAGAACTTACCTACTTGGTACTTTGGGTAATAAGGTGCCATTTGTCCACTACTGCATGATTGTCTCTTATGCCTTTTTCTTAAATTTGTATCAGTGGTCTCCCATTGTGGACTTTTCCTTTTGTTTATTCTATCAAGACCTTCAGAACTACCAGCAGGACTATCGTCCTGGTTTACACCACTACTTAATTTTCTGCTGTGAAACTGGCCATCCAGCTTTTCAATCACTTTAGAAGAATTAGATCCTTTAGATGTTTCCATTTCATTTTCTTGTTTCTTTAATGCATTTTGTTTAGTAGAATGGGACCTTAAAAGAGGATGTCTTTTTTCTTCCATAAAGGCCTGAGTGCTTTTACTGTCGACAGCTTCAGGAGAATAAATGACATTATTTAACTTAAATGAATTGTGCTGCTCAATATGGTTGATTTTTCTCAGAAATATCCTACAGTCTTTAAAGGTTTTGGCTTTCCAAGTATTTTGAAACAGTTTATCTTGGCTTTGTTCTTTTCTAACATTTTGCTGGCAATGAATTGTTCCATTTGCCTCTGAATGTGACTTAAGGATATTTGCTAAACCAGGATGTGGGTTAAAGTCAGACGATCCCATCATCTGTTCAACAAATGCATCTCTGGTTTCATTTTCAGTTGGCAAGAGGCTATTCTGAGACTCTACCAAAGTCTGAGTGGACTGGATTTCTACTGTATTTTTCTCCTGCAGCTTGGGTGTTTCATCATTGGTTTCCCCACTCGTACTCTTAAACAATTGGCTTTGGCAAAATAACTGCAGATTTTTCTTTTTTGATTTCCAGCCTCCAGGAGCCTGATTATAGAGCTTTTTTGTTTGTCCCCACCTATCACGCTGCAACTTCTTAAATTCATTTCTTTTTAATCTGGCTAAAGTGAAATTACTTTTCATGCTTAAGACTGGAGACCTCACCATGTTATGTAACATTTGCAACTTCCCTGCTGGTTTTGAAGGGGAGGATAGTGCAAACTTTTTAAAGTGCTTTCTGAAAGGGCAAGTGCTAGGATCAGATTGTTTCGTTTCCATCTTTATCTCTTTAGTACTAACTACCTCTAAGGGATTGCGAGCATTTGCCTTTCTCACAAGAGAGAGAGACTGTGTTTCTGTAGTTTGCATAAACCAGGTGCAGAGTTCATTCATATTACACTTTTTCTGGAACAGCATTTTTATAGGTGATGTTTCAAGTCCTACAAGGCAGGAGTCTAAAGGGTCTGACATTTCAGTACTACAGTCTCGTTCAATGGGATCCCTTTTTTCACATACACATTTGTCAAACTCACTTCCCCCCACTCTCAACCAGGTATTAGTCATCTGTTCAAATCTATTGTTTAGTTCTTCCAACAAGGTGTCACTTGAAGTGGAAGTAGGCCACCACCTGAGAGAAGGATTTGACGAAAAAATGGGATCTGATGATACCTCATTAATGGGCCCGAATCCACCATCCTTAAGATCCTTTTTAGCATTTCCTGGATTTCTCTGTTCTGAGGTATCTCTGGATTCTGTGCACTGATTGGATTGTGTAAGTTTTTCCTTTCGCTCTTTAGCTTTTTTCAAATGGAGTTTGTAAGATTTATGTACTAAGGCACTTCTACAAGTAAATGGACTAGAAGATGCTAATGAATGCAAAAAATGCAGTGAAGGTTTTCTGTCTCTAGCAGAGTGTCTCGATGGAATTTCATGTTTTCTTGACACTGTTGCAGTAACATTGTGTGACCCATCCTCTCTAGAATCTTTCTGCATGTTCTTTACTTGACCCATATTATTGCACAGTTGATTTTTTCTTTCCTGTGGTATGTTTTTTTCTAACACATTCTGCTGTTGTAAAGGAGGCAAACCATTGCTGATGCTCACTTTTCTTTCCTGAGGTGAAAGTCTGCTGACAGTCACTGATATGCCGGAAATTTTCACTTTTGCTGGCCTGCCAGGTTTTCGAACAGTGGTTAATGGTTTCTTAATCTGCTGTATAACATTGCTGCAAGGATGTGCTGATGCCAGATTACCCTTGATAGGCCTGACATAGTCAAAACCAGAGACCTCCTTTTCAGCAGAAGGATTCTGGAAGGCTTTTACTGTTTCAGTCAAAGCATTTCCAGTTTCTGCATTGTGCCTTGCTTTGCTGGGATCATTGGCAAAATTAGTATCAATATGTTGTGTGGGCAGAATGCTGATAAGATTTAGATTACCTTCAGAAACGTGTCTCTTAGTTCTTCTTGACCTTCCAAAAACAACTGTCACAGTAATATTTTTGTTGCTGCTAACTTCTTCTATTGCTGCTGCATCAGACTTGATGCTTTTACCACCACAGCTAACTTCAGGTCTAGGTTTTGTGCTTCCACTCATGTCTACTTTTGGTTTAGGAGGCCGTCCAATGGGTCTCTTAACCTGCTTAACTACCTGAGGACCTATTTTCTTTGGTCTACCAGGTTTTCTTTTGAAAACTAATTCACTGCTACTGCTTGATTTCTCCACAACTTCATCATTTTTTTTTGAGTCATTTATGTTGATTTGACCAACTGGACAAGAGCTTGTAGCAGCTTCCACGTAAATGCAGGTTGACCTCTCCTTAGTATCATTTTCACTGCAATCACAACCCTTGACACAGACTGCATGAGAAAGGTCACCGGTGGCCTGTTTATCTAACAAAGCGTTTGCGTGCCCCTGAAACAAACAAAGATCTGTGCTTTCCTTAGAAGATGCAGCTGCAGATGTTAACGTGTATTTGACTCCTTCATGACTGTTAACTTCTGAGACAAACATAAGCTTAATAGGACTAGAGTAGTTTAAGGGAGATGGGATCTCCCTGGCTTCAGAAGTGACATGCAAGTCCCCATTACTGGAAGCTGAACTGCTTGAATTAAAGGTCAGAGATTTCAAAAGGCTGTCATTAATTTCTTGATCTATAACAGTTTCTTGCGTGTTTGATGCAACACAAATTGCTTTGATTTTACTGCTGCTTGGCACATGTGAATGTGGAAGGAAGGTTTGTCCTGTGCATCCCATTTCGCTCAGAGTGAAAGGTAAGCCCCTTCTAGTAGCAGGGTTCATAACCTGTTCATAAGCATTATCTTTTAATTTTTGGCTTATTTTGTAACTATCCAACAATGAGTTACTAGTCTTTCTGGATAAGCTTATTGTATCTTCTAAACGCTCCACAACAACTTGCAGATTTGTGTCTCTCACAATTTTGCTTATATTTATGTCACTGCATCTTTCAGCATGAAGATTTTTACTTATTCTCATTTTTTCCAAACTTTTCAACGACTTTTTTGTACTGGATGACTTTCTAAACATGATATTGTTTGTTACATACACAGAGTACCACCCAGGAGGCACAATGTTACGTTTAGTTCTACCCAAGATTTCATTACTCTCATCCTTCAGAGGAATCGGACCAGTCTCTTTCAAGGTTGCACAATCTCCTTGTGTATTTGGGAGTTTTGCCTGGCTGGCTGCAATAGCACTGTTTTCCGAAAGAACTAAAAAGCTGGAGCTGGTCTGAAAATTAGTAAGAGGTAGATTGAAAGACTCTGTTTGGTGTACTGGAAAGCACATTGGTTTGGTTTGGCAGTTCACACATGGATTGCTTCCAAGATGTTGCAAAGTCTCATCTTCTATTACAGTAAAAGTATGTCTTTTATTTGGATGCATTTTATCAATTTTTTTTGTAGATTTCTTTGCATTTCTCTCAGAAATTGACTTTTTTCGTACAAGAGTTTCATCAAGGCTTGCAAGCTCCCTCTTGATTTGCAAGGTCTGTCGTCGAATGACTGGTGAGTCAGGAGAATTATACGTTGCAAATAAAGTTTCCTGACGCTTGCGAAATCTTGTCTGAATAATTTTATTTTCCACTTGTTTATCATGCTGGCGAAGTAATTCCATAAAGCTGTAATCACTTGCCTTAGCATTATGCAAAAGAGAAGTTATGAAGTCTCCTAATTTGACATCATTTTCTGGTGCCCTGTCACTGCTAGAGAGTTTTACAAGATTTGTGGCTAGATCTGTAGTGTCTATTGATTTCAACTTCTCATTAATGCGGTCCATTAAATCTTGAAAAATGGCAGAATGTTCACCTTTCTCAGAGTTCATACAACCATCACTGCTTTCCTGGTCCGCTGATCCCAGTGCTCCATCTGAATAATCAATCTCTCTTCCTTTGCATGTTTTGCCCTCATACTCAAACTCTCCCTTGCTTCCTTCAGCTGGCAAGAGGGATGGAGGCTGGTTGATGGATATTTCAAGCTTGTTGTTGTCTAAAGTTGGAAAGTCCATAACCATTCCTTCTGACAATTCAAATTCTTTACTGTGTACAGGTGATAGTGGAGGTGGTGATGGACTGCGGGATCTGTTTGAAGTTTTAATGCTGCTTAAGAGGTCACAGTCCTTAGCTGAATATGTACATGCTGCTGCTTTCACAGAATGCCTGTTATAATTTTGCAACTGGTCAGCACAATACTTAGGAGAACTACATGTTTTGTTCACCATTGTCTTAATACATCCAATTGCTACAGCTTGGCAAGACAAAGAATGGAAATCTTTAATACAAACAGACAGAGGTGGTAAACAAGTGTTTGGCCTTTGATTTTGTAAACAGCACCTTTTTGTAAGCATGTGTCCATTGCAACTGCAAAATGGAACGTGAACATCCTCTTCAGTAAGGGAACTGGGAGTTTCAGAGTGGACCAAATGTGTTTGCTTGCAACTGCAAACTATAGGAACATTTTCATCCTGTAATAGGAATTTTAACATAGCCAAAGTCTGTTGCCAGTGATATGAACAAAAAGACTCCAAAACTTTGTTTAAAGTTGATTTTCCTTTTTCCAAATTAGCTGTTTCCTCTGAATTTGCATCAGCTGTTGAGCTTGAACTGAAAATGAAAACAAATCAAAACAAAATATAAATTACAGTAAAACACCACATCTAATGTTTGTTATAATGGTTAAACTCAAGCCTAAAAACCTGACGTTTACAAAACAGTTCTGGTCTATTTGCAGTATTCAATCATACCTGCAAGTGTCACTAGCAATGATGTGCATCTTATCAGTGACAGCACTAAACTACCATTAAGAAAAATAATCATGAAAAAATTAAAGGCAAAAAAAAAAATTTGCAATACAGCTTCTTGAACCTAACTACAATTACAACAATGTTAACTTTCTGGTATTTCAAACTATCTTAACTATTAATGAAAGAAAACCTCACCAAGAACTTGGCAAGCTTGGTATTACTCTCGTTTCACTAACTGGGGCACAGAGGAGGTAAATGAGTAAGGTTCAAGGTTGTGGCAAAGGAAAGAATGGATCCATCTCTCCTGAATCTCAGCCTTTGATATTTAAATACTCAAGTGTACTGAGTGCTCTTCAGGATATACTTCAAGGTATTTCTAAAGACATTTTAATTTCTATATTTAAAGAACACTTAACAAGCTAACAGAAAATGGAAAAAATAGCCTAGTGCTCTTTGCAGGTAAAATTTTCCCTTTCAGTTTTAAAAAAAATTGCAGTGGTGCATCACAAGGTCTTCATTACAATATATTAAACACACATGTGTGTGCACACACACAGATTGCTTAAACAGAAAAAGAGATTATCACCACTGGAATAAGTAATTTCCAAGATAAAAGCTAATATCCTTTAAATATCCTTAAAACAGGGTAGGCCTATATTGAAGGACTGCTGAGCAGTTCTTCTCAAATGCATTAACTAAAAAAAAAACTTAAAAAATACTACTTTAACTATTAATCAATTTCTTATAAATTATTAAAACTAATGTCACTACTTACCTAATCAATCATTTATACTGAAAAGCTGAAAATTTTCCATGGTAGAAATTAATACAGGTATTTCTTCAATTAAATACAAAATCCTTATGCTGGATAGCAACTATCAAGAGATAGTTAACACCTAATTCAAATGTTTTACTGAAACCAATTGCATGAGCAAAAAATGTTGGAAGAATTCTGTTTTAGAAAAGTATGTATAGTTTAAACATATCACCAAACTCTGAACATGACACTAACTTTTTTCCCTGTTATTATCCCTTGTAATTTTTTTGTATTTAAGCCTGTACTTCATAAAAATTTCATTCTGATTTTTTTACAACTGTACTGATCAATGAACAAACATGTTTAAAATTTAATGTGTTATATTTAAATATAGTTACCTATTCATTAATTAAGTCCTACCCAAAATTATAAGCATCAATAATAACTTCTAGCTTCAAGTTTCTTACTGGATGCAAACTTGTATTTTTATTGTTCTAGACATATTTTAAAGTTTAGAGCTTAAAACCAGCCAACTGTGCATAATAATTCTTCATGTTTTTTTCCTTCTCCTGTAATATTCAGTATGCAATGGTATACATTCAAAATCAGGCATCTAGATACTAACTCATAAAGGTGTAAGATAATTGTGATGGTATTAGTTGAAGTTGAGATAATATTTAATCTGAAATGATTAGGTCTTAAAAAGAAAAAAACCAAAACCTCTTTGCACTTGCAATCTAAAACAAAACCCACTCTTTTTGAAATGCCACTACACTGAGAAAAGTCTGTTACTCCAACAAATTCAGGAGTCACAAGGTATCAAAATCACTACACTTGTAAAAAAAAACCTCATTCTAATAGTACCATTAAGGATAAAAGGTAATTGCCCTCCCCACCACCATGATTTTAATTAATGTTTTGAAAGGCCAGATTAAAAAAAAAACCAAAAAACAACATGCCACTAGGCCTCCATCTTCCATATTCTGTTTGTAAACCAGAGTAAATTTGTTAAGTACTAATTTGCTAAAAAGACAGCTACAGCAGACTCTTTTTTAGACTGAATTTTTAAACTAGTACCTTTCTATGGGTCTAGACTTGCAAGGTGTGTCTACACCTTCACTGGAGAGCTTGAACTATAGAGGACCTGTATCCATAACTGCTATTTAAAGTCTGTTCACTGGTGGAAGAAACTTCTGGAGCCTTACAATCTTCTCAAAGGGAGTGACCAAATCATCCACAGGCCTCAAAACTTTTGAATTTGCTATGTGAAGATCAATTTGTTGTATAAAGCAATATTCTGACTATCACAGACATTCTTCTAAAACAATTTCTTTCCTGATTACCCACCCTTGTGTGACATCTATAATCTGCTTTCCTTTAACGTGAGTTAGTTTCTAAAGCTGACAGATAACAGACAACTTTCATCTATTCTGTTGTGATTGATCTTCTGAGTTCCTACAGACACATGGAGCCCTTACTCAGCCACCACTTGGGAGCAGAGCTTATTACACAAACAAATTCAAGCATTAAAGCAACACATTTTCCTTGAAGTATCTCCCTGTACAGATGTAAATATATTTAAACATACTGATTTTTAGTAGCTTTTCAATACAACTATTATAATTATTCTTTGTTTTCCTGTAATACCTTCCTATATCTCTTTAAATTTGTGTTGTCACACTGTAGTTTAGCCTATCCTCAGGATAAAAGGCTTAAGCAATAATTTCATAGAAGGAAGACCTATCACTTTGACAAACTGCACACTTCCTCCAAACCACACACAGAAAGATGGCAGGAGAGAGTGGGCAGGAAACTGAGGGGTTGAGAGGATCAATATGCTGCTACTCTGGCACCTTCAGGACCAAGGTTAAGCATGGAATGATGTTTCCCTTCTGGCAGATAGGGGCACTTAATAACATGGAGTGGGGATTGACTAGAGTCCAAAAATGGCACAAAGGCAACAATGTGATAAGGTTAATTCCCAGACTTTCAGTGTATTAATTTACATATAAAGAAGTAAAACTTGGCCTCCTCCACAACTGAAAACTATCAGGGAAGAGCTCTATGAAAGGACTCCCAAAAGAGAACCTTCCCTTGTTGTCTCAGCCAGAGAGAAGATAGAGCACTCTAGCAAGATCTGTACAGACCAGGAACAGCAACAAAACTGGAACAGAACATAGTTTCAAGTACTCATACAAACAGAATGGAACTACTATAGAAATACAAATCTGTCTTACAAAAATGGGTGTTTTCTAACTTTATTAAGTAAATAAGTATCTCAAAAAAACTATACTATTTGTAATTTTTAGCTGCTAACTAAGGGGGGTGTTAGAAAAATAATTTTCTGATTTTGTTCTCATTAGTAATTAATCAATTCAGAGAAAAGAAAACATCCTTCCTTAAAGCTACTTTCTGATAAAATTCTCATAGCAAATTAGTCATTATGAGCTTAATTTGTACAGTTCTTGGTCTTATGCCACTGCTAATCAACTTGTGCCTCAAGAATAAGTCAAATAAGTCAGTGTACAGGTTTTTGTTTCTTTCTTTTTTTTTTACTGAATGAGCAAATCAATCACACATCAGTGTTGTAAATTTATGTGCAAAAGCATTGAAGTGCTTTACTACAAATTACAACGTAGAAACACGTTAACTAAACAATTAAATTCATACAATCAGATTTAGGAATATAACAACACAAAGAAGAAACAGAATTACAGTACATTTACAACACAAGACAAATACATGGAATTCATTAGAAAATATTGTAATAAATAATTCATGAATTATAGTGCAATTGATTTATGCATAAATATAACTAATTGCCTAAAAATCAGTTGTTAACAAAAATCTGTCAAAAATCAAGGCAGCCACAGAGTTTTACTAAATTACTGCGACAATGGAAATACTGCAATTAAAAAACAAATACAAGTATTTGTACTGTAAACAACTAAAAAAATCAGTCTCACTAAAGTTAATATACAATTTAATATAAAATTGTCATTAGCTACCAGAAATGGTTTAAACAACTTTACTGAGCAGTAGTTCTAAAAACAGAGGCACTGTTTTTTAATATAAAATACTTGAGAAACATTCAAATAAGTAGAAAGCATGTAGGGCTTGCTTTCGCCTTCATTTAAAATTCTGCTGAAACAGGAATTTTCAGAAATCGTCAATTACTAAGTAGTGACTGGTAACTGAATTTATAAAACAGTTCAAAATGTATAATTTAAATGACATTAATGAAATACATAGGGGTTGGGGGAGGAGAATTTACACATTTCCCTGCCTTTCCTTAGTTGTGTAATTAAAATGTTAGCCTAATAATTAGAAACAAATAATTCTGTTCTTTAAACACTTACAGGTTGAGTATCATCTATAAACTATCAAAAAATATTTTAATTACTATTTCTGACCAAAAAATAAATACAAGTACTAAAATGTTGAAAATTAATTATAATATTACATACAAAACTACTGAGTACTGTTAAGTCAATAGTAAAATGATCCCTGATTTTATGAATCCTGTTAAATTTTTGGTCAGGTCATCTTTTAAATGATATAAAAAGAGTACTGTCACTTGCCTTCAATATAAAGTTCTGACTCAAATTTCTAACAATGTCTGAGGAGTAGAAAACATCAGTATGGTACAAATATTAGGCAATGCATTGAAGCCCCAGATTTTTGCAAGTAAAACTGTATAAAGACAGATGTTGAAACTTTTAATGCAGCTTTTTCAGCTGCATTTTTCACTGGGGATTTATTCACAAATTAATCCTTCTGGCCCTCACAAAATATGGCTTAATTCTTTTAAAATGAAAGATGACCCTGACATCTGCTGTTCTGAAAACTCCTTACCAGGTACAGTTCTGCTTAAAATCATAGAATCACAGATTAAGCTGAGTTGGAAGGGACCCACCAGGATCACTGAGTCCAACTCCTGACCCTGCACAGGACACCCCAAGAATCATCATGTGCCTGAGAGATTCATTCTGTAATATGCAAGTAAACCTTAATGACTGAAGAAGATTCAGTATAGATCTGAGAGACCAAGGAACTGAGATACTGGTTGTGCAGTTTCAAAGGATTATTCTGTTTTAAAGTGGATGTTGCCATTTTTAGTAGTGTTAATAGATGTGGGCTGGATTTTGCTACCAGTATTGCAGTATGCTCTCCACTGAATTTAATGGCAAGTCTATCTATGAATGAAATTACCTGATGTGGCCCATATGTATCTAATGTCCCATTTTATTTCTACAATTAACCCATACACATGGAAATTTAAGTGGGGAAAAAAACATGTGCATGTGCACCATGTGTATAAAAGTTGGAGAGTCTTTTTTTATGCCAAATTAGATACATAGAGAAAAAATTACATGTTGATAGGAAAAGGGCATTGATGTTCAGTAGTGAATGTATGAAGCAAGCCCCCATTCATATGTAGACATATAATTTTCATATTACATAAAAAAATTAAGTGTGATAAAAAGTCCAATGTGAATACTTTGAAATTCATGTAAAAACTGCAATATGAAGGTAATTGGTCTCCCTTAAATTCTATTAAAAGTTACGTATTTAAAAGGAACTGTCTAACTTCTAACTACCAAATTTATAAAGAATTTATATTATTGAAAGTTCAAAACAGCTTCACTGTTTCATATTTGTATTTCTATCAAGACCCTGAACTGCAAATTTGGTTATTAGCAAGATGATAATGTAACTTGGTATTCATTTTGATAAACTGAAAATGTTTTGAAATGTCACAGCAGCAAATACATTACAGTTACAGTGAGGTTTTTCAATAGGAGTGTGACACAATCCTTAAATAAATTTTAAGTAGTCATAACATCAACTAACCAGCACGTTTAAACAAAAAAACAAACAAACCCAAACCATTCTCAAGCTCATTCTGTGCACAGTATGAACATGCTCTAAGTTGCATTCCAACTTTCTTTTTAAACCTTACAAGTTACCTTAATTGTCAAACTAAAAATGAAAATTATGTTAAAGTTTAAATTATTTTATGCTCTTAGTATTCCATCTTATTTCATATTTAATAATTCTATAACTACAGTAATTTCTCAGATTTCATAAGTGTACACTTTGTAAACACCAATTTCTTTCTAAACCAACAACAAAATTTTCTTAAAATGATAAAAAAATGCAGTTTATGCCTGCTAAACACACATTTTTGTAATGAAATGTTTTTCTTACTTGTATTGGATATTTAAATAACGAACTTTTTTTCTTTCACAGAATGTACTATATCCTACTAATACTTCACAAATTCACTTCCTTGTGAGGAACTATCTTTTTTTTTTTTAATCCCTTGCTGTGTATAATCTGAGTTACTTACAATTTATTGCAAGTATTCTGTGAACTATAAAAGTCTGCTAACCCTTGGTTGTGTATTTCCATAATAAGATGGATAATTGAATGGGTAAAGTGGTTCTCCACCAATTAAAAATTATGCTTCACATGACAAATACTTGTTTTCCCAAAACATCTTTATGCTAGTGACTACTAAATAAAACCTGAATCTTTTCACCTATTTATACATGGATTATATTAAATACACACTATCAGAATTAAGTGAGCAACTCTATAATTCTGTCCACAGTGAAAACCCTGAATAAAACTATTTTTCAAAAGGCATGTATGTGGTTTTTGAACTGTATAATTTCATGTCTTCTGTCAGAGTGAGCATATGTATTTCTCACATAGTGTGTGTATACAGACATACATACACACACACAAAACAATTTGCTAACAATTATTCTACACAGGCTTGCTACTATTTTTGCAGCTGCCAGTCCCTGAATCTGTCATATTAAATAAGCCAGTATCTGGTAAACGGAGTTTCTTCTTCGGTGGAGTCTTCAATGTTCCAGATCTTTCTTTTACTTTATATTCTAAAGTGCTGTGAGGTACCCCATAAATTCCTTGTGCTTTGGAAACACTCATTTTCCCACTCATTACCATTGCAATTGCTTCTTCCATTATTTCATGGTCATACTGCCGATAGCGGCCACGTTTTTTCCTTGGTTGCTTATTATCTTTACGATCCAAACTATCTTCTGTATTTTCTGAGGTTCCATCTACTGTCCCATTCTTAGCATTAAGACACAAAGGAGAGAGGTCCCCATGCAGAAAGTAGGAGTCAACACTTGAGTGAGTTACAGGTCCAGAACATTCAATTTTGTTCTGTTTAGGGAGGATATTTTTCAATTTTTGAAGAGCTGATCCTTCTAAGACTGAGGAAGTTTTAGAAACGTGGTACATAACATCCAGAAGACCAGCAGTATCAGACTGTGGTTTGGACACAGAACTTATTCTTAGCTGAGGAATTTTTAATTGTACAGTGGGACTTGAAGTTTCATATTGTAGATTTTCACTTTTTTCTTTAAACTGAGTGACCATTCTCTGTAGAGTTAACTGGTGGAGGTAACTGGAAGCTGTTGGGAATTTTAATTCTGAGGTTTCAAGTAGACTGAGTTTACTTTTTTCTGTGCGCTCTGCTTGAGCTCTTGCCCACAAGGCTACTTTTTGTAGGACTGCACAAGTTTCTTTACTGTCTTTAAATGAATAACTATCATTGAAATCTCGAGTTTTATTTTTAAAAGGTGCAGGCTTTCCTGCTGGTAAGGCTTCTAAGTGGAGAAGTAAAGTTTTTTGAGGTATGCCATAAAGTATGCCTGCTTTATTTATGTCCAGTGCTCCAGACTGAATGTCTTTCAAAGCTTTTGAGAGCAAACCATCTGCAAACTCAGCACTTCTTTCCACATAGTCCTCTCTGTTTCTGTGTAGTCTCCTGGATGGATGGAATGAAACGATGGTAAACTGATGTATGAGAGACTCTCACACAGCTATGGAAGGGAAGGGTCCACTCCTTTATTATACTCCTTGCTTCGGTAACATCACTGCTTCTGATACTTTTTAGCCTTTGAGATGTGGTAGTTAAATGATTATCCTAGCAAAATGTTACAGTTCTGGTAGGACAGTGTGTCAAAAATCATACCGTGGCTTCTACAGCAGCCCTTCCAAGAACTTTATATCCTAGCTCAGTATTTGGTAATAGTCTCATGTGCTTGCTATATCCCCTTGTTCACATGCTTGCAGAGCAACACTGTTATAATTTTAATTATACAATTAACGTTCTGTTAAATACCCAAATCCTAAAGGAGTTTTTGTTAGTAGAAACGTGACGTTACCGCTAAACAAGTAATAAAAGAGTCAACCCCCTTATAGAAAATTTGCAGCAATAAGTACATAACTACACACAAACATCCCAGACTTACACAAAACTAGGCTTTCTACAACAGGAGGATAAAGTGCTGTAGTTAACAATCAAGTCCATTTTTCGCAAAATAAGACAATTTTAAAAACTTCTACTCACTATTTACAGCTCACTAATTACAAAGCCATCCATTTTCAAACTTTTTCATATCAGCAAATTAATAAAATGCACTTTTACATCATTCAACAAATGCTGCTACTGTAGTCCTATTTGCAATAAGTTATTTTTAAGACGTACAGGTGACAAAAAGGGTCCTGCTATGGCTAGTGGATGGGAGGATGCCAAGATCATAAAATCCAACAAAACAAAGCAATTCACTACTTTTGTGGTAGCATTCAGCAGATGCAATAACGTTTTCCTTGCTGAATAAAGAAATTTAACCATTTGCCACCACACACCATAGTCAGAACCATGATGCAAATACAAGTATGATGATTAAGAGCTCTCTCTCACACGCTTGCTCTCTCTCTCTATTAAGGAATATTATAGGTAGTAGTCATTTAACTTGTTCATGTTAGTTGAAGAAGATTTTGCATCTAATTATTAACATGGTCATTTTTGTCCAGAATTGAAATTCCCTAAATAAATTCTGAAATAATTATTTGCATTTTCTTCTACTAGTCTCTTACTTCTACTGTGTTATGTAATCAATTTTCATGTAATTTTTAGTAACATGAACTAAAGTTTGGTGATTGTTCTGATAACTTTTCTTTAAACAGAAAAAAAAGGAAAAAAGACAAATGAAACATATGATATATACATAGACACACACTTATGAGTGACAAAAATTCTTTTGAAAGCAAAATAGGAACCACATGTGTGTGCCAGTATATACAGGTATGTTATGAACATAAAACCTGGCCAAAGAAGAGAAACCTGGATTGTCTTTTTGATAAGCCAAAGAGAGTCCTAAATATTGCTTACCCAGACACTGAGTTTTCAGAACACAAGGGATCATATTTTGGTTCTTCCAACCTTGCGCTTTTCTTTGTAGAGAGATCTAGCACTCCATCCCCTGCAAAGAACGAGCAGTGATGATAACAGTGGCTTTAACGAAGATCTCAGAGATTTTGTCAGAAAATGTATTTTCACCTATGGCACAATTTTCAAGCAGCTACTTTATCTTGTAAATTTATGACACCTTATTCCATTAACAGTATCAGCCATCAGTAAATGATTTTGTGTATTTGATTTGTCACCAAGCTTTATAAATTTGAGAAAAAATAAAAAGTAAACCCATTCAGAAATAATAAAATTTAAAAGAACCTGTATTAACCAAACATGACTGCTTTCCTGAAAATCACGTGTCTTTATTGCACATTTTACTTTCAAGGCAACCAAAACAATGCACTTGATATTACAAGTATTATTCATATTTACTCACTGTAAACAAACACACAATTCTGATGCTGAAGTTCAACTTAACGTAAATCCTAGGATTACAGGATTCAAGCTAATAAGGATCTCAGGAGGCCCCCAGACCAACCTCCTGCTCCAAGCAGTGTAAGCAATGACACCAGACCAGGTTACTGGATGAGCAGGTACCAGTAACTGGGTAACTTCCCAGTATCCAGTAACTTCCCCCTGACTGGGAAAAGAGCTTGAGCTCAATACAGAGTTCTAACACTTTAACCATACATACTCCTCCTGCTACCTCCACATATATGCAATAATATTAGAAATAAGAAAAACCTAAAGTGGGGTGGGAGTTTGCTCTGTCAAGTCACTGGTAAATGTTAAAATTCAAGATTTATATTTGGCTGTTAAAGTCTATGAAGTACTGAAATAGAAAAGCTTTTTAAAAATCAGTACTTAAAAACATTAACAGTTAAAATACTCCTTTTAATTAAAAAAAAAATCAATGACATTTAAATTATAGTTAAATCCCCTAAATATATATTTAATTTCATACCTTTCTTCCTTGGCTCTCTGTTTCAAACTTGGGCTGTTTTGTGTGCCTGAGCTCTGCGAATTCAATTTTGAGTTTCAACATGTAGCTCAACATTCAACTCTATAATCAGCTTTATACTACCCCTTATAGCATTTGCAGTGTCATTTCCATGTTTCAGTACCTATTATTTCAGTACTTATTTCTATTATTTCAGTATCTATTATTTCTAAAACATCAATCAACTGCACATACTTTCCCACAGCCTCAGATGCAGACAATGGTTGAAGCATCCAAATGCCAACAGTCAAAAAAGAAGTCAAGAAAATGGTTTGGGTAGCTCTCCTTTATACCAATAATGCAAAGAAATAGAGTTCTGTATACTAATCAAATCCAAAGTTTTGTTTTTGGACTGCTTTTTGACTGTTCTTCCACAGCTCTTTTGTATTATTTGAAGGAGGTCAAAGAGAGAAAAGGTAACATCATAACTCAGCAATAGGGCATGACTATATATAAGTATGCCCCTTGTCAAGGGTGCTTCTTTTCACCTGAATACATTCCTTTCAAAATTTTAAAGTCAGAGAAAGGACTAATGCTAATCAACCTTCCTGATGCACTGATATTGCAGAAGAAAAAGCCAATTAAGAACACTACAAAAAAATTCTACATGGACATTTTGGCCTACCCAGGAATACCCAGGCTCAACCCAAAGTCCCTGAGGCCTGTGGAACAGATTTCATCTGTTGTGCTCTGTCAGTCACACAAAGTAAATCTCCCTTTCTTAAGTGCTTGTGTGCTCTCCCTTTCTCCATCTTCAGTTGACACTCATAGGCATCACAAAAAAGTTTAGAAGACATCACTGGGAAAGAAACTACTCCAAAGTTGACAACCTATCAAGCAATAGAAAGCTAATTGTCTCTCCACCAATTTACCAAAAAAACCCCAAAAAAACCACCAAAAAAGAAAAACCTAGGCAAAGTTAGCAGCTAGCAAGATTTTTAGTAAAAGAAAGAGCCCCAACAAATCAAAAAATCCAAAGGCTCTTGTAAGATTCCATAACGAAAATAACTTTTGTTCCCAATCTTTCAGAACTGGCTTTGACAACACCAGGCTAGCAATCAGTTGAAAAATTACTAAAAGAACACAGTAGTGAAAATTCAGCTTCCTGAATAAAAAAATTAGATATATTTTCAGCCTCTAAAGGATGTGCAGAACTGATGGAATTTAAGGTTCAAGACATTTGGTTCTTCCAACACAGCAAATTCAAATTCATTAAGTACATGACACCTCCCTGAAGACAATGCTTTATGGGAAGATGATACCCAGTAAAGAGAATCATAGAAGAAATTTGATACACATGCAAAATACCAGATAGAGTCACTGGACCACAGATTTTTTTTTTTTAGTAATTTCATTTGAACTTTTTAAAAAAGCAAACCAACCAATCAAAAAAAAAAAAACCCAAAAAACACTAAAAAACCCCCACCAAAACCAACAATAAACAACCCTCACAAAAGCCCACCTCAAACTGCTAGGAAAACGAGAGCATTTGCTGTAAAGCTCTAAGACACAGTGAAATCCTACCTAATGAAATGAATGCATATACACAGTCAAGATGTTCACTTTGGTACAAAAAGTTTGCAAAGAGGCATCCTACAGGTGGATTGTGAATCTTGGAAGCTTGTTACTTGCAAGATAGGGATAGTCGTCTCTAAACTGAGCCAGAACTTTCTATTATCTCTTACAAATCCATCAAAACAGGTATTACAGCAAGAATTCTGGACAGGAACTGAATTGTATCAGGTACAGAAAAACCACTCTGTAAGGTGGTTTTAATAAAAGCTATGAAATTACTTCCACTCTTTAGGTGAAGCCATGACTACTAAGAAGTGATTCTTCATTAAAAAAAGTGTAAAACATTGGATAATATAGAAAAATGCATTAGATGTTTTTCAGGTTTGCTACTCATGGTCTTCTAATGCAGCTATTTCTATGCAAATTGAATAATTCTTATCCTCAAAGGAATGGCTCAACCTCCAGCCTTTGATTCTCAGCACAAGATCATCAGGTGCACCAATACCAAGATGAAACTAAGTGTAATCAAAGTTCATTTTCAAAATAATCAGGACCACAATCACTTGAAACTCCTCCACACTAGTGATATTAGGGAAGCAGGGAGGGGAAGGGGAAGCAACAGAAACCAGGTCAGCCTTGAGTTCCTACAACTGGTATTTGATTTCTCAACTGATTTTTTTTCTGGGTTTCAGGAAATCTTTAAGTAGCTATTATGAGCTGTCTTATTAGATCAGATAATCCACACTACTCAGTCCTCAGCCTCCAAGGCAGGGGAGCACTCCACTCCTACTCTGGAAGAGCACATCAGCCTGGCTACTACCTGCAGCTCTTTGCTCTCCTAGCAGCTGCTGTCGTTGGCTTAGGGATCTCAGAGATTTATCCCTGCCTACTCTAGCTTTAGTTTCTAGCCTTGTTTCTGTTAACTGTGAAATTGAAGGCCCTTTGTGAACCCAGTGACCCATGACTTCCTGTCACAGCAGTTCTGATGTTTAACAACATTTGAGCAAAACCTGCCCATTACCTGTCTCTTCCTCTAAGAATTTTCAGAGAGTCCTACCTAGTTTTAATACAGTGAGATGTAGTAAGTAACAACTCTCCCTTTACTTTATCCATCCACAGGACAAGGGGTTTTGTAGCAACAAGACAACAGTCTTGTTTTCAGTACTTTTCCTGATGGTGCCTTGCCTTTTGCTGGCTACTTTCTGTGCTTCCGAACACAGAGTTTTCAGGAAACTGTCAACAGGAACAACCAAAGCCTTTTATTAATTCTTAACTACCACTTTGAGTAGCCCTTTTTGACTTGAAGTGCTATTTAGTAACATAAAAGAATGCCAGATGAAAAGTATATGGCCATACCCAGGGTGATCAGGGCCCAGTCCTGGCAGTATCTGTGAGGACAAGCCAGGGGCTGCCCTGTGCTCAACACAGATGGCTGGGTCCCAGACCTGCTGCAGGACACAGCTGAGTCCAGCAGCCACTTGGGCAGAAACTCTGGAGAACTATATTTAGGAAAGGGGGAAAAGTGCCAGATGGACACAAAAAAATGGGAACAAAAAGAATGAGAAAATATCAGAGCTAAGTCCAGTGGCAGAGAAAAAACATTAGGTACAGACTGCGGACAGCCCACATCCAATCCCCTTGCACTACAGGGCTGGAGTGAAGCTGAGCCTGGGAAAGGAGGGAGAAAAGGCAGTGTTTCAATGACTTCTTGTTTCTACTGCCTGAATTAATAATGAAAAAAAGATATTAATAAGCAATAATTTGAATTATTTTTCCTAAGCAAAGTCTGTTTAGCCCATGATGGCAAGTGGTAGAAAGCAATGACCATGTCCTTATCTCAACCCATAAGCTCTCCTTTCTGCCCTTCCCATTTTCTCCCCTGTGCCATTGTGAGAGAAGAACAAATACATATAGTAAAACCAGGGTATTAAGAAAAAGAAGTTTATTTTCAGTAAAGTTTTGAATTCTTACAATACACTGCCAACTATCTTTTGATGTCTTCCAGTCTATGATGGCTCAATGAAACAAGGGAATTATGAACATTTTCTTGCATGTTTTGGCTATGTTTACACATTATCAGTGTGTGGTTTTGGATATCTTGGTTCCAGAAAATCCAGAAACAAGAATAAGCTTGTGCAGCTTAACCTGCAGATTATAAATTAGTACTGCTTCTACTTCTGACTCTTAAAGTCACTTTGCTTAGAAGCTTGAGAACTATCAACCCTCCTGTATCCACCAAGTGAAAGAAGCCTCTGCATCAAACTTTGCTGCTGCTAGGGACATTCCTGAAAGAGCTCAGCCCCATGACTGCACAAGGAATTAAGTTGCTGCAGGATATTCCAACACTGTTTCTTACTCACTCATTTCATTCTGTAAGGCTGCTGCTTCTTCACTGGCTTAGTTTAGAGGAAAAGCAATATTGCAGAAGCACACAGCAACACCTCACTTTTGTTAGATGCAGTGCATGGAAAACAGATTTTGTTTCACTTCACAGAGCACTCATTATCAAGGCCTGGACAGTTTTAAGAGTTACATGGACTAGAAAATGGAACAAGATACAGGTATTTTTGGAGACAGCTGCTGCTAATTAATTGAATGAAATGATTGCCTCATTAGCAGCAAGATACACAGGAATGAAAGCACCCTGCTTAATTACCACACTTCACCAGCAGAGCAAAGTAGAGGATGCTCTGGGACTCCATTACCAGTCAGGGGTCAGCTGGACATACCTGGATGCCAGTGCTTAAACTCATACTCAGTACCAAATGCTGCAGTTCCAGAGGTGCAATGGATTCACCTTGTCAGTAGTTAGACCCCAACTCAGCCCCTCTACCACTCCCCATCCTCAGTGGGGGGCAGGACGAAATAAGATGAAGATCATCAAGATAAATACAGGGAAAACACTTGGCAATTACCATTACAGGCAAAACAGACTTGGGGAAAATGAATTTATTGCAATTTAAAATAGATTTGGATAATGAGAAAAAGATAAAAATTAAAGCACTTCCCCACTCCTTCCTCTTCCCAGGCTCTCAACTTCATTCCCAATCTCTCTATTTTCCCCCATCCCCAGATGGCATAGGCAAGATTGAAAATGAGGGCTAAAGTCAGTGCAATTCTTCTTTACAGCTCCTTCTCAACAGGCCACAGACCCTTCAGGAAACACCCAGATGCTCCAGTGTGGGGTCTTCCACAGGCTACAACATGATGAGTATTTGCTCCACAGGCTGCAATGGAGCACATGTTCCACCATGGTCCTTTTGATGTGCTCCATGGAAATATCTACTCTGGTGCCTGGAGCACCTCCCTTCCCCTTTCCCTCACCTCACTGCTCCCAGTGCTGTTTCTGACCCCTCCCTCTGCCTGTCCAGCATTTTTGCACTTTCTTAACCATGCTTTCCCAGCAGCACCATGAGCCCAGCTCCTGTGCCTCCCTTCAGCTTGGTGTGGGTCCGTGGCAGAGCTGCCTGAGCCTTGCACAGGGAATCCACAGAGGCTTCTCACAGATGCCACCCTACAGCCCTCCCCAGCTACAAAACTCCTGCCATGTAAGCCCAAAATATCAGGGCTATCAGGTCTGGAAGTGTCAGACCTAAGGATTTTTTGGCTTCAGAGATGGCCTCCAGAGGAAAGTAGGAAGCTTTCTTTAATGGAGAACTTTAGTGGCAGAATCTGCTTTCAGTTCTGAGCTAGCACTTAGCTTGGATCTGCTCACTGCTTCTAGTAATCTGGAAATTAAAGTTTACTTCTGCCTCTCAAGCCCAAGAATCACTCTCATAGTAAAGGAGTAAGATTGTCTATTTAGCTATTTAGATCATTCATTTCAAAGATAACTATTGTAAATACAAAGCACCTGCCTAGGCAGAAAGTGAACCTAAAGAATTTATACTTGGATTATTATCTGCTTAACAGGATTTGAATTAAAGATTTCAACTCTGAAGATCCATCAAAGCAATCTGAACTTCCTCCTGCTACTGCCACTTCATTTGGAAATTTTAACAGGAATTACAAATAGCAAATACCAAAGAGAGTTGCATGACATTTAAAAACATTACTAAGAATGGAACCATGGTACAGCTTTTAGAAGTCTCCAGACCAAAGAAGAATACTATGTTAGAGAATTTACATTTCAAAAAATAATCCAATTAAAAAACCTTCATAATTCCCTACCATAAGCACATGACACTTTATTATAACCAAGCTGTCTTCAGGAAAAGCGCAGAACTGAGAGATGGGTGCACTAATATACAGTCCTTGACAAAAGCGAATTGAAATAACTTTTTCATTAATCTTTGCACTTAGAACACAATGCAAATAAAAAGAGCAGGCTGACATTTTAAATCTTATTTGCTTGTGTTGCCATCACTACAATAAAAAGCTAAAATAGCTCAAAATTAACATATTCATGGAAAACAGAAAGCACAATACAACTTCCCTGGTAGGTAAGATGTCCAAGCCACCTTTCTCCAACTACAGTCTTATTCCACTATTATTTCTCATTTCAGCATCTCTGAATTTCACCTCTGAACAGCAAGATGTTACCTTTAACATCTAAAAAGCACTCCAGAAATCATGGCAGTCTAAGTCCTGAGACTCTGCAGTGTCTTACATAGTTCAATGTAACTTGTACACTGTGTGTACTGAGCAACTATTTTAGATTTAGATGTTTCACCCAAGGTGCACAATTCTAAACTTGCTATTTAGCCTTACCACAAGAAAAAATCCAATGATATAAAAAGATTATTTAAATAACTCCATTTCTCTGTATTTTAGATTTTTCTTAGAGAAAAGATCAATGGATTTTAAGATAAGGGTGGCAGCATAATTTTTTTCCTGTTGCTGCCCTGCCCACCTCCTGCCTTCCCTTTCATTCCTCAAAGATTTATTTGGGCTCAGCAATGACCAGAACCTGCCTTTGGGGACTTTGCTCTTTCATGAACATTTAAGACTAGTTATAAATAATCAGCTGCTGAAGTAAGCAACATGCTATAGTCCTGATATCAGGGAAGTATTTTTTATTGCTCTTGCAAAAGAAATTCGCTTCAACCTGGCCAATTATAAACCTCTAAAATCTGTAATTCATCTGTAGAAAAATTACATCCAACCACAATAGGTATTTTCTCAGGATTTAAACCACTAAGTATTTACTAAACCCTGGCATGAACTGGTTTCCACTGACCATACAGAATAAAAGCAAGAATTCCAGTATTTCCTAATTTTTTTCTGTCAAAGAGAAAGGATGCTTGAAATTTAACCTAGACTAGGTATATTTATCATGAGGAATCCATCAGAGCTTCCTGCCCCCAAGGATCTCCAATTAAAGACTGAATCATTAGGTACATACATACCAAATCTGCTAATGTATATTAAAATAAACAAACAAACAAAAAACCCAAACAAACTTAGTTCTGGCTCCTTTCAACTTTGTTACTATGGTACCATACTTTTTTAGTATGGTACATACAGGTCAACTTTTCCCTTTGGTCTGCAATATTGCAGGATTAACACAGACCCTGATATCTGTAAAAGACAAAAGCTGCTTTTGCCACTGCTTTCAGTTGCACATGACAGTCACAACCCTTCCTGAAAACTGCTGCTAATCCAAATCTAGTTCAAAGTCCAAAACACTCTTGTGATTATCCTGTTATCAGTTTTGGATAGCAATATTCCTTGAGGCAAAGAAATTATTTCCTTTTTGTAAATGATAGTGAGACAGTCTATTTTTCTAGCTTTACTCTCAGTCAAGAAAGCTGCACTGTAATGATTAAGGTATGAAGTAAGGAAATTTTCTCCCAGATCAATCTTCTCTTCCCATCATTCTAACCAGCCTGTATTTAAAGAATCAAAGGTTCAAGAGCTGACAGAGACTGAATGACATTTGCCCCATGAAATCCCAGGATCTTTTTCTCTTTTCTCAGGCTTCTTGACAACTATTTCTTCAACAAAATTTTGAACCACTGTTACCTGTGACAGCACAGGAGAGAGGACTTAGATTCAGTATTCCAAAGCTGAAAAATTCCAATGCCACTTCTTTAACACAGGCACCCAGAAATCAGAACACTTATCTGCTAACGCACAATATGAAAAATGTTCCTGTTTGACATGGACATTTATTTTTCAAGGGAATAAAACGCCATAAAATAAATAAATGACAGCAAAACACAGATTATCAGATATAGAAATTTACCTTGCTGAGTATTCTGTTCTTGAGTTCGATTCACAGTGAGGTCTAGAGGGCTATCCTGTTCTTCCTGAAGGGAGTTTTCCGTTTGGTTCATTTGGATACTTTTACACATCAGACTTGGTTCAAATGATGAACCATTCCTGTTCTCTTGAATTTTGCTACTTTTTGAAATGTACTCAATCGCAAACTGACGGATCATTTTTTTCATTAATTCCTGAGCAACTAGGGGAATGTTAGGATCACAGTTCTGAGGAAGATCTAGAAATAAAAAACACAGGCATCAGATATATTAGGAACCAAAATTATCTACCTTTCTTATAATAAATACTTCATATAAGCACACAAATGTGTTAAATGAGTACATGTGTAACGATCATATTAATTCAGATCTCTATCAAGTTTTTTTAATGAGCATTCCTAACTGGAAGTCACTTGAAAGAACATTTAGCATAGATCATTAATTTTTACCTTGTTCCTCTATCATAGCATGCAAGTAAGAGTATGTGGGGTTGCATTATTAGGGGACTCAGAATCCATACTGTTGGCAGATAAGTTGAATTTTCATTTACAGACTGCTCATTTTCAGTTTTGAAAATAAAGTATTTTGAATACAAACCATGGAAGTAAAATAAAATATGGATTAATACAGAAAGAAGTTACTTTCAAAGAACAACAATAACAAAAATAATTTTCAAGTGTAGTTGTAAAGATTAGTCCTCTTCATAACACAGAACAGTTGGACTTTTGAGGAACTGGTCTTAAAAAGAAAAAAAGCAAAAAGATTGTGTTCCACTCTTGAGATTATAATCCCCATTGTAGGTTCAGGATTGAAATGTCAGAACTGATATGATGCTACTTGAAATGTCCCAAAAAACTAGTAGTAATACAAGCAATTGAATACAAACAAAGTTTTAAGCTTTTATTGTAAAATCTTACAGGATTTTCAGGACATTTTCCAAGTGCTAGCAATAAAACACTTGGAAGAAAAGCTTTATTTCCCATTCTAAACTAACTATATCTACTTTTGCTTGTGTATGTAACATTTCAATGGAAAAAAGTATCTCATTTTAGAAACAAAACAAAAAAAAAGATCAAATGTGGTATATATTACTTTATTTTAATGCTACCTATCAGCTAGAAAAAAGTTAAACCTCTTACTAAAAAGCACAGCTGAAACCATAACTATGAATCACCAAAAATAATCCTAATAGAAGCAACAGAAAAATGTAAGTGTAACTTAGCATAAATAATGTAATTAAGAAAATTAAAGTAAGCTGTGCTACTGCACTGATGACTGCAAGACACCATTTCACAGGACAACTGACCATACTCAGAGATCTGTGTTTTCCCTTAAACTGGCAGCAGCAGTACTTACTTTACTACCTCACTCTTCCTTCTTCCCTTCAACTCTACACGTCTCTCCACACAAATATCCTTTTCAATATATTAACCACTGCCCATCCTTGAGTTCATAGGTAATGAGTGAAACAGTTTTCAAGCAAGAAGGGAGAGGGATTTAAAGCAAGTGTGAAAGCAATGAACAAGAATTAGCTTTTAGGTGAGCCCTGACTGCCTGGAGGAAATACCAAAGGACATGGTTCCGTAGTTACTGGGATAATAAAGTTAATCTGAAACAAATAAAATAGATGATAAACTGAAGGGTTTTTTCATGGAAGTGAAGAAACTGAAAGGGCTGGGTTGTGTAGATGTTTGCATGCAAAGGGTACATGGGGTACATGTCCTAATAGGAAGTCTGGAGGATCACACAGTATATTTGCTCAAGTATTTTATGCCAATGAAGCTTTAGCCATCAACGATCAAGAGAGTGACTGCCAGCACTGATCAAGGAATGCTGCTCAGGTTTAGGATGAATGCATGGAAGAATTTTTGCTTGTTTGTTTCAGGTTTATTTAAAATATATTCCATTTTGAGAATTCATTTTCACCAACAGAGCATTGCAAGGAATTACAAACCTGCACCTATGAGATCTGCTGTCTATAGCACACGAGAGGGCAGCTGACTCACTCTCAGATGCTTCCTGTCAAGATCTTTTGGCCAGCCTCTCCATAGTGCTTGATGAGGTACAGTGAAGCTCCAGCATTTTTAAGACATCTTGGCTTCAAGAGAACTTACCCAAGGCATGACAAACCAAATCTGCTTATGGTTAAAGCTCTAGCTTCCAACAATCTTTCAACCAGATCTCTACCAAAATACCTAAAATTGACAGGTGCTTCTTGAAGAGAGATATGAGGTAAAATTCTAAATGATGGAGGATACCTACAAAGATCTTTCCCCACCATGTAACCTCCAGGCAAAGCAATATAAACAGAGCATACCTATTCCTGATTCCTAAATAATGAACTCAATAAATGTTCAACTGGAGTTTACCATCCTAGAGACACACTTAGAAGTAAAGAAAAAAAATTCAACAACAGACACTGGAACAGTAAGACAATAGATGTACAGTACTGATGCACATGCAAAATACAAGAAAAGAATACAGAAAGTTAAGAGATGAAATTAAATAACTGAATTATCTAGGAACAAAATTGTTTGCATGACAGGGAAACGGTAGTTCCAGACAATGAAATCTACTGATCAACAGCTTAAGCTTGAAAACACAAAAATTTGACTGCCTATAATCAGAAACTCACAGAAAATGAATTATACAAAATATTATCAAGACTGAGTAGGGTCTAGAATGACCCTACTTATACAGAGCAATTAGTTTGTTGCATGCACACAAGAAAAACTTCTTTGATAACTTCTGGGTAACAGGTGATCATCAGTGCAAATGGGAGAATTATTTTACATCCTGGTATAATCTGTACCTTTAAGGAGCAAAAGACCAGAGAGTACAGGGGACTACCATCAGCAGGAAAACACAACAGCCTGGAACAGATTTCTCCTTATTAATCATCATCCTTTGCATCAATTATTACAAAACTGCAAGTCAAAACTAATTCAGAGCTGTCAAGTTTTTACTGCCTTTCTATTCCACTTTAGACTCTTTGCACCAGTAACAGTCAAGCACGTATTGCTTTCAGACACTTGCAGGAGGAGTCAGCTTTTCCCTTAGAAGCAAAGTCATCTTTCACCTAGTCAGAATAATAATGGATTTATTTTTTTGTTCTTATAATATTTTCTTTAGAATTAGTTTAATTTTTTTAATGATTTCCAAAAACTCCCTATGAAGAATAAATACAGCAGGATTTCTTATATATTCAACTGCTGCAGCTATTGGTAGTTCACAGATTTTAATTTATTTTACTCTAAAAAAGTAACATGATGAGGGGGTGGTGTGTGTCTAAGAGCATATACTCTGAAAGGTGTGCTCCTGGGTTGGGGTTGCATTTGAAGTCCTCTTGCTGCTAAATGCATATTCAATCAAAAGGGTTTGAAAAGACTCAGGTAGACTAATCAGCCAAAAATGCAAACAGTGCTGCTATCACATTGACTGTTCTGTAATGCAAATCATGAACTTGTAAATCTTGGTGGAAATATCTTGGGAAGTCTCTAGAAAAACTGCTTATTCAAAGTAGTCATCTTTGAGGTCAAAGTGAGTACCTCTGGATTTTACCTAGTTAGGTGAGGAATACTTCCATGGATGGGAGACTCTACAACCTCTGGGTGGCATGTTCTACTGCTTGCCTGTCCTCATTTTTCCTTACATTAAAAAGAACCTTTTATTTCAACTTGTTTACAGTCTGTCATTATCCTGCTATGCACCATTGTAAAGACTTTGACCCTGTCTTAAAATTAGAATATCCTGAGTTGAAAGGGACCCACAAGGATCATCAAAGTCCAGCTCCTGGCCCTACACAGGACACCTCCAAGAGTCATACCATGTGCCTGAGATTATTGTCCAAATGCTTCTTGAACTCTGTCAGGCTTGGTGCTGTGACCATTTCCCTGGGGAGCCTGTTCCAGCGCCCAACCACCCTCTGGTAAAGAATGTTTTCCTAATATCCAGCTGAACTTTCTCTGGCACAGCTTTGGGACTGAGGTTGACCTCAGGTCTTGTCACTGGTCACCAGGGAGAAGAGATCAGTGCCTGCCCTTCCACTTCCCCTCAAGAGAAAGTTGCAACTGCAATGAGGTCTCCCCTCAGTCTCCTCCGGGCTGAAAAAGGCAAGTGACTTTCAGCCACTCCCTGCATGGCTTCCCCTTAAAACCCTTCACCATCTTTGTTGCCCTCCTTTGGACACTCTCTAATGTTTGATGTCTTTCTTACACTGTGGCACCCAAAGCTGTCCCCAGCACTGGAGGTGAGGCTGCCCCAGCTCAGAGCAGAGCAGGACAATCCCTCCCTTGCCCAGCTGGCCATGCTATGCCTGATGCCCCCCAGGACAGGGCTGCCCCTCCTGGCTGCCAGGGCACTGCTGGCTCATGTTCAGCTTTCCATCAACCAGGACCCCCAAGTCCCTTTCTGCAGTGCTGCTGTCCAGCATCTCATTGGCCAGTCTGTTCCACCCAACATGGGAAAGTACTTCACCCATCCTGTGATTCATACCGGTAATTTTCCATTACACATGAGAAATTTGTAATTAGACATATAAAATTTTAAAACACAATGAAACATATTTTGGGCAAGAAAGGTGTTCAAACTCTGAACTTATTATCACTACCAAATATTTCTTAATTGTTATCAGCAGATGGCACCAGATATATACTTGGTATGACCTGAACAGGTTTTTTTTTGAAGATGTTTTATTAGGAGTGGTGACTATAGAAAAAACTTGCAAAGTTTTAAATTTGCATGCCTACATCTTTTTAAATCCCTGTTTTTCACAGTCGTTATAAAATACAAGGCAGCTGTATTTAGTCCATGTATAATGTATAACTTGAACCCAGTAGAATAGTCTCTAAAGGTCTGCAGACCTGATGCTATTAGGATAAAAGAAGACTGAATTTGTGTGATGTAAGCTGATATTTTCTGCTTTTGATTGTCAAGGTAACAGTCTGAAAACAAGAGAAAAGAGTAATAATGTAATTATGACTAATTGCAATGATTTATTTTAATTCAAAGGTGACATTTAGGATTAATAATTCCTCAGTTTATGTGCTGCACGAGCTTGTAACTATTCAAACCTGTACTGTTAACTATTCTGCACATTAACATTATGTGTGATCACTAGACTGCAATGTCTATGGTGACAGATTTGACTGTCAGGACAATGAACAAAGAGTTAAAGGTTCCCAAAATAGTGTTCCATTTATCAAAAACCAGTATTTTTTCACTAAAAACTCAACCTTCTAACTTAATTTGTCTTCTGACACAATGCCAAAAGGCAGTCAAAAGCAGCAGGGAATTACAACCCCCCTTGTACCTGCAATCCCGTTGTGTGAGGAGAAGGACTAAGAACCCATGATTGCTTCTCTGTGTGCCTCATAAATTCACTCCATAAATTCACTCTTTTCACAAAAAGGCCACATTTTATTTTAACAACCCCACCTCAACAGCCACCAAACTGTCCCAGTGACATTCTTAGTTCTGCTTGCAAAATTGTTCAGGTTACAACAGGAATACAATTACTTATTTTGAGGCATGTATCATGATTAGTTCAGCTAACTTGACCAACCAACAAACAGAAGGAGTAAGTTAACTCTTCTGTTCTCATAAACATTCCACCTTTTTTCTTCCTCTACTCAGGTTGCAATGTTCACCATTCTATATCCAGTCATATTTCTATTAATCCTTGTAAATGTAGTAGAAATGATCAAGAAATTAGTGAAGAGAATAACACTGGCAGGCAGGTTAACACAAAAAGTATCCCCTTAAGAAAGAGTGAAAACCCCATGAAACATTCTTTCCTGATGAAGTTTAAGAGGGACAGCAAAGCTGTCACAGAAGTTTATTGCACAAACTGTGTCAGTGTCAGTCATTACAGAAAACCATCCAGATTTTGAAAGGACAAATTAGATTTTTCAAGATTAATAATCAAAAGAAACTGCAGGCTTTGGATGAAGTAGTGTGTGCAACTCAAAGCTACACCTCAGAAAGTAACACTTTTTTTTTTAGTCTGAAATAATGTGTGCATGATTACATTGTCATAGGTTTGCTAAATGAAATGTACTATGTCCAAGATGCATAATCAGCTTGTGACAGCTGCACAACCGATAGAAAACTACTAAAAGAACAGAAGAGCTCAAATTCAGGTATATGGTATAACAAAGACATATTTGTGAAAGGAAATATTTTAGTATATAACAAGGATATCTAGAAATAGTAAAGAGCTTTGAAAAGCTAACAGGAAAATTACTTTGGGATGGGAAACGTGGCATTGAAGATACTTGACACAGCAGCCCACAGAATCTGAAAAGATTCAAGTAATCTCGAACATTCTCTCTATAATTTTGAGCCTAAATTCCTGAACTTCTACATGGGCTTCTCATGTCTCAGTCACCTCTTGGTGGATCATCTATGTTGAAGATAGAACCTGATTCACAACTCTTTTTCTTTGGTTTTGTTTAAAGAGGTCACATTAATATTGCATAGAAAAATGTGCTTCTAAGAACACACGATGTGTATTACTAGAAATACAGAAAATTAATAGTCCATGAACAAAATGTCTGATCAAGCTTTTAAACAACTGTGATTCTGTGATATAACAATGATCATATGTCACACTCTATAATACTCATAGAAAAAAAAGACCTATATGTATTTTTAAAGCATTCTATGTTTTTCCCTTAACAAAAACAGAACAGCTGAACTTCAGCATTATGGAAGTGGAAAAGCACCAATCTAAGTCTACTCTGCTTACACTACCAAAAGGGTAAAGAGAGATGTCATACTTGGGAAGAAAGCATTTGGGTTCCAGACACATTGTTTAATGGCAACTATCAGCATTTGATGACAAAGAGGACTTTGGATTTGTGAACCTGTCTGCTGAGCACAGGACTTTCCTACAGACAACTCAGTACAAAACTGGTCTCTCACTAATGCAGAGTGAAGTTGGGTTCCTAATGGGAAGACCTTAGTTGTTAACAGCATTTCAAGAGTTTACCCATTTTGGCAGGAGTTCATAATCTTTTGTCCTAGATTCTATAGACAAATAGGCATGTTTTGAGATCTTCTGAACAAGCTTCCTGATACAAAAAAACCCAGAACAACAAACCCAAACCCACAACCAAATCCCCTCAAACTAGTCAGCAAATTAAAAAAGCCATATATAAATTTCTTCAAAATAAAAGATTAATGGGACCAAGAAATGAACTCTCTAATTTGCTCAATGGTCTTAGAAGTTGTTCATAGAGGGCTAAAATAGCTACAATAGCAAGAGAGTAGATCATCTCGAGGAGTTTGCAATCCAAACAAGTGTTACTCCATTCTAAAGACAGCCAGCCAAGAATTCTACAATTTTCTAACAACAAAAGAACATCTGGTTTGGGACCAGGTATAAGAACTATTCCTTAGCTAACCATTCCTTAGCTAAACACATACTGGAATTTTTTTTTATTCCTTTCTTCATAAGTTGATACTTGAACTCAAAAACCTACAAAAATTCAGAAAGCAGACTTGGTTGTGTTTTTTTTAGTAAAACTCTTCATCTTCCTCCTAAAATCCAAACCAGTTACTTGAATACCTCATAAATTGGTTTCACATGCCCTTTACTAATTTTTTCCTTTTCACTTCCTGTAATTTGAACAACTTTAAAGACTTTGCTAAAACCTGAACTGAAGCAATATTCTTAGTAAATTCTTACCCAAGAATACAGAAGTACTTCAGAGAATCACAAAAACAACTGGAAGTTTCATTTTTCAATAGACAAAACCTCTTTAACCTAGCATTACTGATCTGACAGATCAAACCAAAAGAAAATGCTAAAAGCCAAATGCTCTTTGTGAGAAACTTCACTTAGAAGTCATTCACTCCACTAAGGTGAGGTCATGCCAAGTTTCACTTCTCCCATGATAGAAGTTCCTCTCAAGGAGTATCAAAAGAGATCATCTGCAGCAGGAGCATAAAGCAGGCAAACACTGAATAACATTGTACACATCAAGACCAAGAAGAGATCTGACAACATAGAAATTTGAAGGAATTAAAATATCTGCCTAGGGAGATGCCACACAATTGGGCCTGTGATGAAAATATAATAAGACTTTAAGAAGTAACGAGGTGCCAACTTCATTGGACATTTTATTTCAAATGGAAAATAGCTGGTTTGAAAGAAAGCCAAGAGTCCAAAGGATGCACTCAAAATGCTGTTGCACTCCATTTCAGTTCTTTAAAATGCAAAGAAGCAAAACATAGACTGAGTAGACAAGTCTGTACAGAAAAAGATTCTACATACCCCAGGTTCAAGGGCGTAATAATCTCTCCTGCTACAGCAAATTAAAAGGGAGAAAACTAACTTTGCTTTTTTCTCCCACTTCTGAAGAAGAGACAGTGTCTGACTAACTCTGTCAAAAGCAAGAGAGAGCTGTCACCCTAGCCATACTCAGCTATTCTGACACACACATACTAAACCCAAGAAAAATCTATGAATATTGTAGTTACTGCATTCACAGTAACTTCATTTACATTTCTTCATTCACAAGAACTTAAGGAAGAAAATGAGTACTTCTGCTTCTGTGGACAGTGAGTAAACCAACTAACATTCATGAAGTAAGCTGATTTGTCATTTGCTCATGTATTGCTCTAACTTGATAGAGCAAAGAATAAGAACAGTCACAGAATTAATGACCTACAAAATACTGCATTTTAAGAAGTTTTACCCTCCAATTTGGATGTATTTGAAGCTTTCATGCAAGAATATCCCAAATTCCATTTTGCAATCTGCAAAGCACTTTCTCTTGCCTAAAATCTGTTTCCCACTGAAAACCAGAAGTGAGAATTTAGGAACAGAAAATGTTTAAATGCCTCGAATTCCAGAGAATGACACCTGAGGTTGGCATAAAAACAAAGTAGCAGCTCATGGTAAAAAGAAAAATCCAATACAATTTATGAACAGGGATTCAAAAGAATGATACATAATGCAAGAGGATGAAGAGGAACAGTAAGTAGGAAGGGTAGTACTTCATTTGGTGATTCACGTAAGAAAAAGATTGCGGGAAACCAAAGGAATAAAAAAGAGAAACAGCAGAAACATCTATTTCAGTAGATAAATAAAAAATTACTTAGGAAACAAAATTAACCCTGAATAATTTAATTCTTCTAGATTTTTTGTCCTATTTCATAATACAAAAGACATGCTTTTATTACCTTTCTTTCGAAAGAGTGCATTTAGATAGTTTTCTGCTTGGCATTCAATCTTATCAGTGTTGGACTGGCCCTGAGATGACAGTTCCTCTGTAGGCGTTGACTGTGAAGAACCGAAAACTGATGCACGATCCTGGAAAACATATCAAGGTCATAACATCTTTCAGAAGTTAGTCTGCTGGTAGTAAAATATACTATGAAATTACTGAGTTATTGAATGGAATAGAACCACTAAAATCAAACTACCTTGAGTCAAAATGCGGGATTAACTTATTTGAAAAATTCAATTATCTCACTCTTACTATCATACCAAAAAATTAGTGTTGGGGAGTAGAGTAATGTTTAATATAATGCTCATACTTACACTGGCTGTTTCTTTATGTAAATTACAAAAGGAACATTTCTCATCCATAGACCAGTCAGTTAGCTCTTCTGGCTCACAGTCTTAAAGGAAGAAAAGAAAGCTAGATGTTTTAAACAAGCAAAAATGGATTTTGAGAACAACACACACTTCCTAAAATTCTCTTAAATAAATTCCATTACTAATATGATATATATTTATTGGTACAGTGCATTCAGTCATATTCAATACTTCAGTTATTTTCAAATTCTTGTCTGGTTTTTACAGCTCAACTTAAAAATAGCAGAGAGTGCTTTCCTTAGAAGAAAAGGTAAACTCGTGTCATTCAGTTTTATATCTGTCATAATTACTGGAGGCATCTGAATACTGCAAAGAAAGCTTTGAATTGTAGGCATCATTCTTTTTAACTGAAGTGTGCAAAAGTCTCACTTGAACACCTGTTTCCTGAACATGGGGAGCAAGATGCCAAGATGATGTCTTTTACCTTTACACCAGACTTCCTTACACTGCAGGCAGTACTTTTCATACAGTATCCTAGCTATGAGCAGCCTTTATTACAGCTGCAGTGTTTTGGCAGGTGAATGCAAATATGATTAACTACAACACCAAGGTCTTGTCCATCCTGTTCATGTGCTTACAACCCAAACAACTTTTTAACTCCCATTATTAGTTACCAGGTATGTTTCCTCCTTTTCTCCATACCATCAAATTACAGTCAGTTCTGTTTAGGGAGGTTCTTGAGATTATCTGCTTTCAATAGCACATGACAGTAGCCTGATCTTGGCTGGCTGCCAATCTCCCAATCCACTGATGCTCTCAATTCACTGCCCCTCTTCAATAGGGCAGGGATGAGGAAGTAACATGGTAGGGGAGAAAACTGGGGGATAAACTTGAGGGTCAAGATGAAGACAGGGAGATCACTTACCAATAACTGTAACAGGGAAGTCAGACTCAACTTGGAGAGAATCAATTTCATTTATAGCCAATAAAAACAGATTTGCATAATGAGAAAGGGAAAACACTAAACCACCTTACCACCCCTTCTTCCCAGGCTTCAGCTTCACTCCTTCATTCCTGATTCTTCTACCTCCTCCCCCACCCCAAAGAGTGCAAGGAGGATGGGAAACAGGCTGCTCTCAGTTCCTAACAGTTCCTCTCTGCCACTTCCTTCTCTTTTTTTTTCCTGCTTCCAGCTTGGGGTGTCTCCCATGGGCTACAGGCCTTCACAAACTGCTCCAGTGTTCTTCCCACTACTGCAGCTCTTCTTGAACTGCTCTAGTGCATGTCTTTTCCACAGGGCACAGTCCTTCAGGAAAAGACCATTCCACAGACCCACAGCTCCTGCCAGAAAACCTGCTCCTGCATGGGCTCCTTTCTAGAGCTGCAGTTCCTGCCAGAGGCCTGCTCCAGCATGGCATCTCCACAGGCTGTAGCTTCCTTCAGGGCATCTCCACCTGCTCCAGTGGCTCCTTCAAGGGCTGCACTGTGGATATCTGTTCCAGCATGGTCCTCCATGGGCTGCAGGTTCTACATGCTTCACCCATGGTCTTCTCCAAGGGCTGCAGGGGAATCTCTGCTCCAGTGACTGGAGCACCTCTCCCCTCTTCCTTCTCTGACCTTGCTGTCTGCAGGGTTGTCTCCCACTGCCCACTGTCCTCTACCCTCTTCCCACAACTGCTGAGCTCTTACTTCTTCTCAAAGATATTATTAAAAAGGCAAAATAAGAATAAAATTACTTTGAAAAATAAAGGTTCTTCAGTTGAGCACAAACATAATGTTAGTAACTCATTATTACTTAAATCTAGTTTGCTCAGCTCTAAAATACTGATTTAGAACAGAATTCTGTATTATTGTATTATATGCTTTCAAGGATGCAAAAGAGCAATTTTTACAAGTTGGACTGATGTTTAAAAACAGACATGGTATTTTTCTTGGCTGGACAGTAACAAGAGATAATGAGTCATTTTTGCTGAATTAATCTACCTGTCCCAGCCCATTAGAGCTATTCCTTTAGGAGGTCCACAGCATAAAAACAACACTATTCCCTCACAACAAGTTCATTGTTTTTCTTGCAACCATGAAAACTTTATTTATGAACCTTGAGATTCTACACCTAACTCTAGGACAGGCTTATACTTTCAGAGAAGTTCTTCTGCCTTGGAATCCTGAATTTCCACTGGTAAAAGTCAAACCAGAGAGCAATCCTTGTGTATTGCCAAAAAAGCAAACCTTGAGAAACATCAGCTCTACATAACACTAAACCCTTTATTTAAAGCAGTATAAATCATGTACAAGACCTATTAAGTCTGCCAGTGAGCTAAGCAAAAGTGATATCAGATATATACAAGATATATCAAATGCCAGACAGCCTCAGGTCACCCCCACAGGAAACATCCTGATATCAGTATTAAGTTTTTAACTACAGATAGGCAGCCATACTCTCAGAAAAATCAGAGGCACAGACAGCACTTTAAGCTGAATAAACTTTCCTCCAGCTGCATTGAATTTAGGATGAGGATCATCTTCCCTCCCCATTTTATCTTGCTTGGGGTCAGATGATAAAAGACTTGCAGACAACCAAGAGATAATGCTTGCTAGCTCATGAGAAAAGTTGCTAAGACTGTGCAAACAGCGTTTTAATATTAATCACAGTATAGATCATTACTTGAAACCAAAACCCTTTAGCACAATGGTGTAAACTTATTTTCATTTATTAAGAATAAATTGGTGAACTTTGACAAAAATTTTTTTTTTCATTTCTTAAGAGGCTCACATCTTTGTTTCCCCAAACCACTTTTCCCAAAACAGTAATGCCAAATTAAGTAAATTAATTCAGACATCTGTAGTACTGAACAGATTCCATGTTTATATTTTAAAATACAAAATAATTGTCTAGTAAATCTAAATACAAAATAAAATTTAAAAATTCATCAAAATAAAACTTAAAAATTCATCTCTTACTTACCAGTATTTTCTGATTATAATAATGACCCAAAAGATTTTCCAGCTATTTGAGACAATTTTGAACATATCATTGCCTTTCTTTTTATACAGCACTACTGCTTCCTAATAAGTACATTAAAACAGCTGAAGTATTTATCAAATCCTTCATATTTTTAATTTCATAAAACCTCCAATTCTATTAGATTTGTGTTTTTAATAAAATTTTTCACTACTAGAAATACTCCAAAAGATAAAATCTTTCGTCCTGTATAAAGACGATTTTGTCCTGGCAGAGAAAGAGCATTGAGAGCTGCTTTTTTCCAACAAGACAAAGCTTTTCCTCAGTGGTTAAGAGAATAGAACCCCAGCACATAATCCCCCCAAAAGAAAGTACACACATACCACCTGATTAGAGGAGCAGCTTTTTAACAGTTTAGCTAGCTATCCATAAGTAGAATGTAAAGAACAACAATTTATAGGTGAATTTACTTAGCTGAAAATGGGTATGAGGAAAGGATTAGAAAGCCCTAGAGATTCAATGACATAAAGCCTCAGTTCAGAGCTTGACCCAAAGTCAGATGCCAAGATACAGAACTTGACCCCTCTGCAACCAGAAATTGCAGAATCCAAGCAGTCAGGAAGACAAACTGGTGCTGCATAATGGTGACAAGAACCACTTTAGCAATTACAAAGTAAATCCTACATATAAAAGAATTTCAAGACACAAAAAAATGTTTAAACAGTATTTTCTTGGAAAAGTGTAATAGTCTAGTAAAACTGAAGTGTACCTTTTAGCATTTAGATTTGCCATTGCAATTTATTATTCACTCAAGTAACTTAAGATAATACAATATTTTAATCTATAAATCAAATACTATTTCAAGAAAGAACTAAGGAGGAAATAGATCAATCATCTTACATTTATGCACATTATTCATATTTTTCATGCTGCAATAGATAAAGCCAACAACATAAGAGAATAAAATGCTATTGTATCTAAGCAGCATACATTTCAGCCAATTCTCACATATTTCTGCACAAGAAAGCTACATAATTTCTTGAGGTATGTTTGAGGAAACACACTCTTGCTGCTAATGAGCCATAATATTGCATGTTGACAGTATTAGTTTAGTGGTTATGATGAGGAAAATAAACAGCCTAAAAGATGCAGTAATTCAGGCACACTGCTTAGCATGTGAGAACCTGAGTTCTAATTCTACCAGCCATATTTTTTAACTAAGGCAAATTATTTACTTTGTATCTTGGTTTCATTACCTGTGAAATGAAATGCAACACTTAGGACAGTGGAAAAATTTGTACAAATTTTACTTGAGAGTTCTGTATTAATCTTTAAAACAAAATTCAGACTTCAAATCAGAAATATTATACTAAAGATAGAGCTGACCTCTACTGTACCAGTATAAACCATTTCACATGAAGTTACACATACTATATCTATAAAAATGAACCAAAAATAAGAGTAAGCTAAGATGGGCCTTCCAACCTACCAGCAGTTCTGGAGCAGTTGGCTCCAGAATTAAAATCAATTTTACAGATGCCTCAGACATGGAAATAGGCTTTAATTGTTGAAGTACTCTTGCACATTACTGACAAAAATTTTCAGAAATTAAAAAAACAACTGAGATGTTGCATTTTACATAAACACAAATTTAATTTTCAAGACAAAGTCACAAGGGCATCAAATAGCAAAGATTTACAAGCAATGGAAATATCAGATTTTAAATAGTAAGAAATCTTCAACAGCATGAGGCAAATAAGTTCAAACTTTACTCCTAAGACAGCTCAAATACATGCACACATGAAGTCTAAAGGAGCAATATAAACTTTACAGTGTGTTGTATCATGCCCTTTAACTGTAGCTTAGACTTTGGCCACTACCAAAGTCTGCCTTCTTACCCCCAAAAAAAAGTAAAAAAAAAAAGCAAACCCTTTCATGAAAAAAACAAAGCATTAACTACTAATCAGTGTAAAGCCCAATACATACAAATATTGGAATTACAACTAAAAAAACAAAAAACAAAAGAGATACTGCACACTTATAACAATATCCTGTTTCCTTTTCAAATGTGCTTATCACAGCAGTTGAAAATACTAGTCATGTAAACAAGCTTTAATCTAACTGTACATGTTTCTTAAGTGTTTTTATATCTTATTAGTGGCATGCCTAGCTTGAGAAAGGAAAAAATAATATTCTAAAAGCATCAGCAAAGTAGTATTCCAAGTTCCCCCCCTTCCCCACAAAAATACTGTGTTATGCATATGATACAGGCCAAGGAACTTGCACATTATGAAGGGGACAAAACTATAACCAAGTTAAAGCAATTGTTCCAAAAGTATTCCAAGCAGTACATGCCAGTCTGCCTCATGTGCTAGCACTAAGTGACATGCTTTACAAATTACACTATCAGACAATGAATTATGAAGAAATGAGATGGAACATTTTTACAGTTTCATAACAGAAGTAACATTTCTTTAATTCATAAAATGAACTTGCCAAAACAATTCTTTCAATACTTTAAAGCAAATTTTTGCTCTATAGTCCCCATGTTGTGAAAGATAAATCATTCCACACTTAACTAAGGACTTATGTGTTATTGACAGCTATTCCAGCAAAACCAAACCCATTTTGACTAATGCTGGGTTGGTTTTACAAGGCTGATGGAAAAGGTGTCTATATACATATATGCTTGAACATACTATGACTTTATATACATATGCATAAAGTACTATAAAAACTAAAAGTTTGGAGTACATATAATAAAGATGTAAAAAAATATGATTATATAAAAAGCATAAACTTTCTTGGCCACTACAAGACCAAACTAGCATCCATTAGTTTCCTTTTACCAATTAATGTCAATGGGAAGCTGAGCAGCTTGTCTGCCCTTTCTAATGGATATTCAGAAACAAAGAAGAAGATGCAATATTCCAGAAGAGTAAGTCTTTTTCATGAGAGCTTTGCAGAAAAGCTTAGCTAATGCAAATTCCCCTGTATGGGAACAAAACCTATGTATCACTCTCCCTAGTGTTTTGCTTAGGCACAGTATTGACAAGAAAATTAATAAATGAACATTGGAAAGAAAAGCACTGGAAGATTTCCTTTTTCAAATTCAAGATATATGCTTGAAACTACTTTTAGCTAGAAGAAAAAACAGTAAGTTAAAGTCATTGCACTAAAAGCTGGCTCATTTACCTTCAAATAAACTGAGGTCTCTTCGTAGCCTTGGTCCATAAAGCCCTTCTAAAATACTTTCAAAACCTGGAGACAAAAGAAACATTTAAAACAGTAAATCAAAAGTTTCTTAAAAGAAAGCAAATTCTAGAAAACTGGCAACAAGTATCCTCAAATTATAAGAGCAATTCCAAAAATTGTTACATTTATCAAACAAATATTTACTCCTTCCACTATAGTACTACTCAATAGCATTAGAAGATAAAAATAAGACAAGGCAACTGCCATCTGCCCACAATCAGCCTATTAAGCCATGCCCCAACAACCTCATTAGACTTAAAATAACTACCATAGAATCCTAAAGGTGGTAGGATTAGCCTCATAGCTCTAAGCAACTGAAGGAGTTTCTCTCTTAGCCTGAGAATCAGAGTCATGTACAGAGAGAGGAAAAAATGAAAAGAAGAAAAAATGAAAAGAAAAAAAATTGAAAACTTTACAGATCAGAAACTTCTCATGATCTCCTGAAACTACATAATCTGAGCAGGCTAATATTACAACAAATAGGAAAAAAGCAAGCTTCTTTTCCTTCTGATACCACCATGAGATTGCTCTCTAGTCCTCTGTATCTGCACAAAAACGTTTTAAAATGGAGGATTAGATAAAGCCAATTATTTTACAGATTTACCAGCTAGTCTGTTTAGGTATTTGGTAAAAATTAAATACTTCAGTAAGGGTGATGAGACAGAGCAAATCAGATGATTGATAAATAAATAATGTTTGAAACCCCAAACCCACAAAAAAGTGCATGATAACTGATGAAATATGGTGACAATTTAGAGCATCAATAAAAAAGTTTTGTTCAATGCTGAAACAGTTTCCAAATGCCCCCCTTTCTCCTTCCAAATAATAAGCTTATTTGAAAATAAGAGGATAATTCAAAGCAGCATTTGAAGGTTCTCATTCTTTACACTAAAGGCCTGCCTGTAGCTATTTTGCTAGACCAGAACTTTGCAAGACTATTTTATCATCACACTACATAAAAGATACCAAAATCTTCAGGAAACAACTTCTATCAACAAAGAACATTCAGAATTGCAAAATTTGTTCATCATGTGATGTCTTTTAAGACAACACAACATCCTGTTCCCTCCCCAAAAGTTATATTTACTTTTTGGTTTAGATTGTATGTACACTACTATAAAGAAGAATAAATATGTACCATATTTGAAGCAGACAAGGGAAGCTATCTTAACACTTAGGAGCTGTACAGTTTGACAAGTCAGATTTTGTTAAAATTTCCATTGCAAAGTAACTTTAATATATGGACTATACTGTGAATCAATTATAACCTCTACAAATCTGATATTTGAGCTATAAATGGATTTATATATTGAACTATATGGATTTCATTTTCCACTTTTCTTTGTACTAAATATAGTACCACAAGACAACACAAATTAAATGACAAAACCACTGTCCTCTAACAAATACATATACACACATCTTTTAAACAGCCTACAAGAACTAGAAAGCAAAAAGCCCAAAGCCCAGGCACACACTAAAATTTACCTTAAAGCATCATCCAGCAACTCTTACATTCAATGTAATATAAATTCACATCATATCAGCACTGCATAAATTCCCTGTTCATCTGGCTTCAAAGGGTTATGGACAAAAAAGGCAAGAGAGATGAAGCCTTAAGTTAAGATAGCAATCCTCCAAACACAAGAGAGTGGAAATACAAACCACACCATCTGCATTGCCATTCATGTTACACACTGTAAGCCATGTTAGGTCAGCAGCTAGTTACATTCTGCCAAGTTACTGTCCCTGGGTAAAGAAATGAATGAAGCAGCACTTGGAGACAACCCTGCCTATTTCAAAAGGGCAAACAGCAACTCCTATTTTTCAGGACTTCATCAGTCAAACAACAGGAAGCTTGTTTACCATCCCAGTCAGCACCCAAAACCTCTTGGTCTTTGGATACTACCACCCTTCCTACCCTGTGCAGGGTGGTACTTGTTTCTGCTTTTACTTTTGTCCTTACCTGCCTGCCCTACTACCTGCTCCTGCCTATGGAAAACCACGAGTGCAGAAACCCAGCTCTGTAAACAGCAGTTTGTCAAAGAAAAATGCAACCTTCAAACAGGCTTCCATACAGCTTGTATTTAAGATGGCAATTAGCACACTGTGGGAGTTGTTGGGTTTTTTTATTTTCTTACTCTGAGGAAAAGATAAACCAGACTGCTTCTTTGCTAATTCACCCAACTTAACTCCATCCTACCCATCCAAAGGGCTCTTCTTTTCCTGAAATATTACAGAACTTCTCCAAGGAACCACAACAGACTTACCCTGCCCAATCATTTGTTTCTTCACCTCTGGACACTGGATGACTTCATTTAAAAGAACACTTACTTGTACAACCTAAGAAGATCAAGAGAATATTTTTCCAGACCTTAGGCTAAAATTTTCCCAGAAAGCACCTGTGTTACTTCCACGCTCCAGGAAGTACTATTGCCTTTCAGCAGAATTGATACAATTTTAGTTTAACCTAAACAAGAAGATGTATCTTTATCTCAATTTTAGTTTAACCTAAACAAGAAGATGTATCACCTTTTCCTAAAATGTAACCATCTGGACACAAGCAGTTCAATAAATCTTTGTTTTTCTTCTTGAGTCAGTATGCTTATGCAAACAGTAGTAGCAGCTTTGGAACCCTCCAGAACCTGAAGAGCCCACAGAAACTGGTCTGAAATACACTTTGCTTATATTTTTTATGATTCACTAATGGAAAAAAATTGCTTCAAAAAAGTTTTACAGAATTTGCTGTCTCATGGTGTTTGATCGCCTATTTGATTCCAAACCTGGTCTTTCAAAACTGTTACTTGAGATCTGACACTTTCTAGCTCCAAACTGAAAAGCAACACTTGGCTCTAGTAACTTGCAATACCCCGAACCATCAAACTCCCTCTTCCTCTAATAAATTTACTGTATCTTCATGTAGAAAGAATCAGCTTTCTTTATTGTCTGACACCTTTTAAAATCCAAGATAGGTTCCTCCAACAGTCTTCATAAGCAGAAATTTGTGATAGAGTGAGTCTCTTAACCCAGTTACAAGCTTCCACAGTTTGTACTTCTGAATAAAGCTGTGAACAGGGGTTTTTCCCCTGTATTAACTCTCCCGCCCACCTTTCCCCCACCATGGATGCTGCTTTCCTCACTGGGGGCTGGGATGGGGCAGGGACTCCCATGAGGAGGGAGGCTGAAGCTGTGACCTCCAGGAACAGGAAGGGGGCTCTCTTTTTGCACCAGTACCTATTTGGGTACAGAAAAGGCAAACAGCCCAGGAACAAGCTCTATCAGGTCTGGCACATGGATCACAGCAAAGGCCACCAGAAGGAAGCAATAGGTGACAGTAACTGCAGGCTCCCATGAGGCTTCTGCCCAGCACCTAGACTGGCTGTCACAGAATTCAGCTCTGGCCTCTGGTCCAAACCCAGAATGTTACAGAGAAACTCTTATGGCTTATCTGGCTGTTGAAAATATCATCTGTTACCCATCTACCTGGCCACCATGATACTGCCAGAAGTGATCTTCAGCAGACCAGAGCTAACCATGGGAGCACAGGGGCAATGCTGAACAACACCAGGTGTCAATGGAATAAATAACAGAGCCCAGGTGTTGATCCAAGGTGAAGGCTTTTCTAGGGTAAACAAACATCCTCTGGGATCAACGGGTGTCTACATGGCTGCAGGCAGGACTCCAGCTCTTATGACATTAGGATCCTTTAAGAAACAGAGTGCTGGAGAAAGACATGATCTATTTGATAATACAAATCAACACTGCCAACAGGCTTTGCCACAGCCTGCAGCTGTGGAAGCAATGGATAGTCTGTGCTGCACTAAGCCTAGAGCAAATCACGAGGTGAAGATTTACAGAAATTTTAAAGCAAAGTCGGTCTAAGTTAATTTTGGACAGATACAGTAATTGAACAGTTATACAATACAAATTGAGGTTGGACAGGTTAGCCATACATTGGCTATTGTTATTCCAAAAGCTATTTATCTCCATAATTTCTGAGAGAAAACTTTAGTTACTTTAGCCTTGGAGTTGAATTCAACAGCCATCTCCTCCTTTCCTCCCCACAGCTTCAAAGTGAATGGAGACTGCAAGCATGTTTTCAAAAAAATTGAATGACTCAGACTATGTGTTAGAAAAATAGCCAAAAAAAGAATAAATATCATGTAATAAATGGAAGCTAACATTTGACTACCACTTTGAAATTAACCATTTGGTGGGTCTGAAGATAGAAGTAGTATTTACTCTACACTTGGGAAGGGGAACAGAATATATGCACACGTTCTATTAAAAAGTTTTTGATAGGTTTGGTGCACTCCCCATCACACAAATTTCTTGATTCCCCTAACCTTGTAAATGGCCATATTAACCCCTAAATTTGTATGTTCTTTTCAAATGAAAGTCCATTTCATAAAAGCAGATATATTTCCTTTCCCCTTTGTCTCTTTGTTTCTTTACTAGTTTTACTTCTTTACTTTCTTTTTTCTCTTCCCCTTTTCATGTTTCTGTTTAAGAAGTAAAATTAGGGTTTTAGCTACAAGGCTTTTTTTTAAGCCTGTATTTGGGACATCTTATTAAAATGTAACCATTTTTAGTTAAAATTTTAACAAAGCATTTTTATTTGTTCTTTTACTCAGGACTAGAACACAATAATACTAAATCTCAAGAGGTGCCAACCAAAACTTGTACAAACTATAATAGTGACACTAATGACCTCAGAGTAGGCTACCTAAAAAAACCTTTTGCTTGTACTTGCTCTCCCCTCCTCTGATCTGCTGCAGCTTTTCCAGTTTAGGAAAGTATAAGCCTTTTATCAGTTCATCTGCTTAAAGATAAAAGTGCAAATACTTCTAAACAAATTCACTTCTGGTTTGATATTTTTCTAAGCCATAAAGACTGTTTTATTCATATCTCTGGATGCATACAAGAAACAGTAGATTCATGCTCCTTACAGAGATAGAAAAAATTTAAATGAAAGAGGGAGATGCTTATCAAGATTGCTCATCTGA